ATTGCTCAAAACATCAAAACAATGAAATTAAATGCTGTTGAAAATAAATGGTTTTACAACAGACTATGATGTCATACTTTACCCATAATACTTTGCTTGAGAATCAAGATGGCTGACTACATAATACTGATGAAAAGTTGAATATCTAGAGAATGAATAGTGATATAAAAAAACTGTAAATTGCATTCTTCTACATTTGTGGAGCCTTTTCTTGGGGGGGGGGGGGGTCATTGTGTTGTTTGGATTGACTTCCCCTGGTTTAACATTATTAAATTGCAAAGGTGTATTTATGGTCAAAATGTCATGTTTTGAGGATCAAACATACTGTGGAATACTTTATTTTCGCTGGATTTAATTTTCGCTGAAAAGGCTTTTTGGGCGTTTTGCTTGGAATTTATTTTCACTGATTTTTGATGAGTTTAATGTGAAATATAGGAAAAAAAGTATATTCGCTGGATTTTATTTTCACGGAATCATCCCTTCAGCGAAAATAGCGAAAATAAATTCCAAGCGAAAATAAAGTATTCTACAGTACATTAAATGCATTTTTATTATGTGTGCTTCTTTTAGAAATGCACTTTTACAATTTGTCTAGTCCGTCTATTTTAATTATTTGATATTTTTTTCTGAATGTAATAGCTTTCCTACAGCATATAATAAACACATTTGTTTAAATTAATTGCAGGCGAGTTGTATTCCTGCACATGTGTTATGCCCTCCACTGGGAAGTCATGTGATTGACACATGTGCAGCACCTGGCAACAAAACCAGTCATCTAGCAAGTATTATAAATAACACTGGGTATGTACATTTCAATGGAATTTAATAACATCTAAAATTCTGGATGCTGTTTAGTTTTAGGAAATGTCGTATTTAAAAACATAACAATTGCCAAAACTTTCCCAATGTATATCATAATGTAATTTGTGTACTGGTAAAGCATGTCCCATATGGTAGAATTCCAAAATGTATGTTTTTTTTGTAAATTGGGGAAAAACAATCATAATTTACTAGTGACTAAGATAGCATAGCATCTGAAAAGAAAAGTCAATGTTACTGAGCAAGTATTCTACTGTGTGTGTGTTGGCAGGGGGTGGGGGTATGTTGCCTAATCGATTTCATTGATTGTTGCCCCTCAAATGTCTTTTAAAATTCTGTACAGATGACCAAGATGACTAAGATGATGAAAATTTATTTTTACAACCATTGTGTAACCAAACTAGTTTGGATGCTTACAGATAACCAATATTCAGAACAGGCCTAAAGCTGGACTTTCATATATACAAATTTGTTCTCCCATATCAACAGTATGGCATCCTCTGACTCCCCAGTTTGGCAACAATGCAAAATGAGTTTTTTATACACTTTGTGAGCGAGTAGAGTAAACCAAGCGGTTATTAGTCACCAAATCAAGGGGGAGAATAATGCACTGGAGAGGAGCACTTGTAACTAAACCGTTTATTACTCAGCTGCTAGGCCTGGAACTGAGTCCATGAGATGTTCTCACGAGATGTTCTCACGAGATGTTCTCACGAGATGTTCTCACGAGATGTTCTCACGAGATGTTGTCATGAGATGTTCTCATGAGATGTTGTCATGAAATGTTCTCACGAGATGTTCTCACGAGATGTTCTCACGAGATGTTCTCACGAGATGTTCTCACGAGATGTTCTCACGAGATGTTCTCACGAGATGTTCTCATGAGATGTTCCATGCAACGTCACAACCTCAAATCATCACACACTTGTTGAAGCCACCCTTAAAAAGGTTTGCGCCAACTGAAGACAACTTTATCATCTTCTCCATACGTATTACATGTGTGGGTTCATGCCACAGGAGTTAAAAAAGTCGTATATTATTATTATTAAAAATTGACATATATATTTCTCCATTCTTTCCAGAAAAATATATGCCTTTGACTTAGACACTAAAAGGATAGGCACAATGGGGAATCTGACCGCTAAAGCTGGTGTGATGAACACACAACTTTTTAACCAGGACTTCCTGAAAACCAATCCAACAGACAACAAATTTCAGAAAGTTGAATATATTTTAGTGGATCCAAGTTGTACAGGATCAGGTATAGTGAACCGCAATGATCACCTGATGGGAGCACAAGGCATTACGAAGGCAAGGTTACGGTCATTGTCAAGTTTTCAGGTCATGATTTTGAAACATGCCATGGAATTTCCAAATCTGAAAAGAGTGGTCTACTCCACATGTTCTGTACATAGGGAAGAAAATGAAGACGTTGTCGCAGAAGTTTTAAAATGTAATAAAAATTTCGCTCTGAAGACCGTTATGCCAAGTTGGACTCATCGCGGTTTAGAAGGAACTGATGTAGGAAAACATTGTATCAGAGCTTCTGCTAATGTTGATTTCACAAATGGGTTCTTTGTGGCTTTATTTGAGAGAACAGAGATGAAATTTGAAAAACAGGCTGCATTTGATGACAGGCGAGGTGATACTTCTGAGAAATTTGCACATGATGGTAATGGAGATGACACACCTCAAAAAGGATGTAGATACGAAGAGGATAATTTGTCAACTACACGAACCAAGCCTGATGTGACGGCAAGTGTTCAGAGAACTGTTGGTGTCAAAAGGGCATCTGATAGTGTAGGAAAGAAGAAAAAGAAAAAAAGAAAGAAACAATTTAAACCAGTGACTGCAAAATGATGCACTATGATGATGCTAAATTATTTTACAAATTAAAACCAAATTAAAGTCGCCAATTTTAGTTGCAACCGTTTGTGATTGGTTTCAATGTATAAAGGTACAAGAATATCTGAGAATTCATTGATAGATTGTAGTATCACAAATATTACTTGTGAAATTATGATGCGCTTTTGTTCATGAAACCCTTTCACTGCCATCAAATCTTGTAACCTTTCACACAGCAGTCCTGTTCCAAGTCAGCCATTTTCATACAATGTTTTGCAGAAGTTAAAAAAATTTAGACCCCAGAGATCTCTAATTTAGTATACCAAGGTAATGATTAACAATTAAAAAGTAGGAGAAAAACTTAGTAATAAACAATCAGTTTGTATGTTGAAGTGCTATGGTCATTGCAAAGTAGATCATGATACAAGCCTCCTTCTATATCAGAGACAACGGCACAAAATTTTGCCTGATGGGGCGAGATCCGAAATCTAGACCCTCTGAAATGCTATTTCCTGCATTTTGGGGGGCAAATTTTGCGGACACAAAGGGTGGCTTGATTGGAGGGGGGCCAACATTTTTCAAGTAAATTTGAAGGGAATTAATCTGTTGAATGATTTTAATCGATTTATACTCAAATTACCATGCAAATTATTTTAATTATTAAAACAAATGCCCTCCAACCTCAGTTTTAAATTATTTTATTTTCACAGTAATTTTGATAGTAATGGTCACTTTTTTGAGCAAAAATAAATTTGTTTGATGTATAATTTCTTGTTTTTGGCACTGAGGGCGCTGCATTGCTTGTAAACTAAGGTATCATTTCTTGATCATGGACAAAAGCAAGTATGTATATTTATATCAAAACACTTTGACTTACTGTGCAATATAAATTCATTAAACCATTGTTAACCCACTACTGCTCTGGTTTCTGTAAACTAAAAACCAACTACACTTGTATTCATATGTACAAGACTGCAGTTATGGTCAATGTGAAACATAGAAGTAGACAGATATCGAAAAGTGGGACAAGGGTGGGCTTCAAACAGCAACGTAAACAACAGTCCCAGCTGTAATTGATATCAATCAACATTCTTGACAAATATAGGCATAAGAATGGTCATTTCAATGTCACATGGTACATTCAGCACCACGTACACAGGTACTGACTAGCAATACAAAAGTCAGGATTGGCAAACGTTCTCAATATTTGAGAAAGAATTCCATTCACTTCCAAACCTTGTACCTGGTCACTATCAAGTTCGCAAATTACCTATCCACACTATCTTAGGGACGACGTCAAAAGATCAATGTCAGATAAAAAACTTATTTCCTTTAGTTTGGGGGTGGGGGTTTTGACCTCAAAAAGTTTCCATCCTACAAAAACGATTTTATTTTTCAATGAGGTCAAAAAAATCTTGGAGTATTTGTAGTTCGTTTTTTTTCTATCCAATCATGGACAGAAATAAACGAAAAGGGGAAAAAAACAGAAAAATGGTTTGGTTCGAGTGTAAATCTGTGCGTCAAATGAGGTGCATTTGTAAAATCTTTTTACACCCACCCGACAACCAACTGCTATGCCATACTACTGTCCGATTATCAATTTGTATTTAATGGTGAATGTAGTCTGACGCCATGACCAATATTTGTCAATTAAGTTTCAGTGGGGGGTAGGGGGATTTGGAAAAAAAAACTAAAGGAATTAAGTTTTTTTATCAGACATCGATCTTTTGACGTCGTCCCTCAGTGTTTCTAATACAAACTAATTTGTTCATGGATGCATGTAGTTAATTGTTATCAGTATGTGCTAGGCAATATATCACGACACCTGTATGGTCCTTCATTACAGACTTTTCACTTAATAAAAATATGAAAAGTTCAACAACTTTTATTTGAATATCAACCCTAAATACACTGTACATGTACTGCATTGATGTTCTCAAAACAATTTGTAAAATGAAATGTTGATAAAAGAGAGAGTATTTACAAAAAATAACTGTACAGATACTTTAGAATCTCTCAAAACTAGACAAGCTCACATGGGGTTCAAGTTACTGTAAAGTACTTGAATAACATTTGGAATTTATTTTTGCTGAAAAGGTAATTCAGTTAAAATCCTCTTTGCCCTGTACAGGGTTCATAGCACCAGGAGCTAAATGATTTCCAAGACTTTTCTAGACTTTTTCCCAAACTTTCTTGCATTTTTCCAAGACATTTTGACCCTTAATTCAGACCAACATCACCAAAGCTTATCAAAGTTCTGAAAGAAATTATACATCAAACAAATTTATTTTTGCTCAAAAAAGTGACCATTACTATCAAAATTATTGTGAAAATAAAATAATTTAAAACTGAGGTTGGAGGGCATTTGTTTTAATAATTAAAATAATTTGCATGGTAATTTGAGTATAAATCGATTAAAATCATTCAACAGATTAATTCCCTTCAAATTTACTTAAAAAAAAATGTTGGCCCCCCTCCAATCAAGCCACCCTTTGTGTTCGCAAAATAAAATCCAGCGAATATACCTTTTTTCCTATAATTTACATTCAACCCTTCAAAAATCAGTGAAATTGAATCCATACAAAACAACCAAAATGTCTTTTCAGCGAAAATTAATTCCAGCTAAAATAAAGTATTTCACAGTCAATTGAAATGTCTTATTTTGACCTTAAGTTCGCTTCAGTAAAAATAAGTGTTTACCACAAACCAAAAATTGCAGTATTTGTAGACTATCATTAAAATATACTTTTGTTTAGACATCCCCAGTTATTTGTGCTAATAGAGGAAAGTCAGTATTCAAAAAAAAATCTCATCAACAGTTCAAATATTGCAGGTTATATTTGAAGTTAAATTATTATCGATATTGTGACTGTAAATATCATACTGGCAATAAAAACAATACAATAACACTCATTCAAATTAAAATATGTAAATTGTGTTAATGAAGTTGCATTTGAACACTTCTTTTCCTTTACATTGGATGCAGAAGGAAATGAAATGATGGCAATAGAATCCCATCACTGAATTTTAAATGTCCTCGCAATGCAAAATGCTTTTGGAAAATGGTGTATAATAAGGTAACGATTAAACCATGAAGTACGAGACAGTACCAAATTTAATCGTCTGTCACTACATGTCAGGTGTTGTCATACTGCCTTTATGTATACTTTGTGGTATGATTGTGAACACCTCATAGTATCATATAAACCAATCCCAAGTTATTTACAAAAAATGCCAAAATAACCTTATATTATTTGACTTGCATGCATGCTTAATTTAAATATTCAATACATGAAAAAACATTGTGTTTTCTTAAAATTTAACAACCAATATACAGTGCCATAGGTTAAAAAATAATATTGAAAAATGGCATCAATCAGTACTGGTTAAAAACGTTAATACAAGAACCTCTTTGCAATGTCAAGTAAGATGGCACATGATATTGCACATGTCAAATGATAGGACATGTCAAATTAGAGATTACATTGCACATGTCAAATTAAAGGACATGTCAAATCAGAGATGACATTGCACATGTCAAATTAAAGGACATGTCAAATTAAAGAACAAAATCAAATTTCACAACACTGGACATAACAGACAAAATTACAAACTATCAGATAAAATATATTTAGTATAGAGAATCCTCTAAATCTATTCAACCTAACCCTGTTTATTCATGATTTAATCTGATCAGAACACGTACTAGTAATGTTTTGTAATTTAAATAAGATGTGTAGCGTAACTGTTAGCGTGTCAACCCAGCTTCAAGGATGTATACACAGCAGTGAGAAAATACAATACATTCTTCCTGCTGACATGTTGGAGGTATTAAGTTATCTGCCACGCAAGCTGTTCCTCTCTCTCTGCATTTAAAGGGTGGAAGTCGTCGTGCTACGTCTTGTTTAATATGTGAATCATAGCGACGTATATAACGCGTGTAAAATACATTGTTTATTTACATAAAATTCGAACACATGCTGCGCGACGACCACCGCACTTTAAACAAAATCTCAGGATCCTCCACTCGAATGAGTAGCAGTTACTCACAGAATACTAATTTCAAATATTCTATAATGTGGTGTGACTCATGAATGATTACCGAAATTGGATCATATCGGATTAAAAATTACAAAATATTATGTGAACCCCAACCGAAACCTGAGCGTTCTTCAATCGAAACTGTTCCTGTTAGGCAGGTAGCACATTGGACGTTATTGTTCAAATTTTCTTGAAGTATGCCCATGTCAACCAGTCGTAGTGAGCCTTGTTTGTCACTCTCTTCATCCAAACACGTATCGACTATGATCTTTTTTGCAAAAACTTGATGTGACGGATCAACAATGCAATCTGCCACAGAAAATTCCTCTCCCGATTCCAACTCCGAGTCAGTTGTATTACTGTCACTTGGTGGGTGGTAGTAAGAACCACGGGCTGACAATTGTAATGACAGTCGAGCCTCGTCAGACATTCGCGTCTTCTTTCGTCGTCGTCTTCCCATAATAAATGAATAAATAAAAACTACTAAATGTATAAACGTTTGCTTGTTGATGCTCACTCCGCTATGTCAATTGACTGAATGACTGATACTTTACTAACTTAAGTACACAAGTTTTGTAGTATTGATATGCAAATCGGATCTTCCATCAAATGTCAATTAGGATTTCTTTTATGCAAATGTTGTGCTTGTGTTGGTTGTGTTTATAAACAATCACACGTGGCAATGTTTTGAAATAAAAAAACATCAAAATAAGGCTTATAAAGTGGAGTTTTTGTGTAGAATGGAAGCACAGTCATAGATACTATCATAACCATCAATAATTTAAAAAAAAAAAAAAAAAAAAAACTGGAAAAAAACACATTAAACATATGCTAACCCCTTAAGCACCCTCTATTGCTGCATTTATGATTCTTGAGTACTTGAATTGTCTTTACAAAAACACTGCCAGACACACAATTAATGTGACAAGCAGTAGAAAGGGCAGCCATTGTTTTAGAAATCCAAGAAAACTGTAAAAAAACAAAGAACAGATTATTAATCAGTATACCACTGTAAACTGCTTTAAATTCAGGAGACGCATTTTTGTGAATTACACAAGTTGAGGACATTTCACTAGGGTAATTAAAAAATGATTTTCACAAAAAAATGTTCCTGTGACAATGACAATGATTCACAGCTATCCATAATTTAAATATCCATTTCAAAATTCCTTTATGCTTTTATTGTTGTTTATTTTTGAGAAGATACATGTAATGTACGAGTAGTGGAAAAATATTTTTATTTATTTCTTAATTAACACAAGGCTAAGTGACTTATTTATGCAAGTTGCTGTCTTGAAAACAAGAGTTTTTTTCTTCAAAATTTGTCTATCGCAAAACAAGCCTTGTTTGAAATAGCATTGCACGAACTGCTATACGACACCACAGAATGCATTTTTTAGTCCCTGTTCGGACGCAGTCCGAAAATGAAGACTTATGTTTTGACCTCCGTCTGTGCGTGCGTCTGTGCGTGCATCCGAACCTGTATCTTAGAAATGCCTTGACCAATCACAATCAAACTTCACACAAACTTCATACATGATATTATACATATGCACGTCAATTTGTTTCACGATCCGATTCAAGATGGCCGAATGGCGGCCATTTTTGTGCTAAAAATCATCAAAATCAAACATTTCTCGACTGTTTACAGATGGATTTTATTCAAACTTAGTATATACATTAGACATTATGGGACCTTGATGCACATCATTTTGTTTTACCATCTGATCCAAGATGGCCGAATGGCGGCCATTTTTGTGCTAAAAAATCCCAAAAAATTAAGCATTTCTCAGCTGTTTACAGATGGATTTTGTTCAAACTTGGTATATACATTAGACATTATAGGATCTTGATGCACATCAGTTTGTTTTACGATCTGATCCAAGATGGCTGAATGGCGGCCATTTTTGTGCTAAAAAATCCTAAAAATTAAGTATTTCTCGGCTGTTTACAGATGGATTTTGTTCAAACTTGGTATATATATACATTAGACATTATGGGACCTTGATGCACATCATTTTGTTTTACGACCTGATCCAAGATGGCTGAATGGCGGCCATTTTTGTGCTAAAAAATCCTAAAAATTAAGCATTTCTCGGCTGTTTACAGATGGATTTTGTTCAAACTTGGTATATACATTAGACATTATGGGACCTTGATGCAAATAATTTTGTTTTTCAGATAAGATTCAAAATGGCCGACTGGCGGCCATTTTGTTTTAATGATTGGGCTTCTAGAGCCATATCTTTGACTGATTATATATTCAAATTTTATATATTCGTTATACATCATGTTATATATATACATGTATTTAAAATGGCTGATTTTGAATGCTGTTCCAGAGCAATATCTCTCAATATGTCCAAGTACTTGTTTGACGATCAGATACAAATGTCAATCATTTTAATGTTAAAAAATCATATTCCTGACATGGTTATATTCCAGCTATATTACTATAAATAAAACTACATATCTTAAATTTGATAACTAACAGGGACTGTGCCACGCATGGCTTGTTTACTGTAGTTTCACACAGCACAGCGCCATCTATGGCCAGAGTGGGTCATACTTACTTGACATACTTGGCTCTGAAGAAAATCCAGAAGCAGAGTTTAAACATGTTCCATGACGTACTACCATCATATTGCATTAAATTCAAAGCCATAGCTACATGTGAGTGACAGTTATCACAGCAGAGATTATGCTGAAAATCAAAAGATAAATTCTCATATTATCAAGATAAATTTACTACCACATTACAAGTATATAAACTCAAGTCTAACATCAACCTTCTCACCGCCAGGAGCAAAACTATGTAGCCTTCAACAATTAAAATAGTCTGGTTTAAGATCTAAAATGTATCAGGTACATGGAAATAAAAATAATGTTTGGAGGCAAAAAAACTAGCTGTGTAGTAGCATGGAAGGTACTAACGGAAGGAGCAACGACGCCTCTCAAGTGACCACTTGAGCTTCTTAACAGGCTTATTTTCTTTTGTTTCAACCCAAGTTAATCCTGATGAGGACATTGTCTAGCTCATCTTTGATGTCGATGATAGTTTGCGATTGTTTACACAAGTAACGAGTTAGCGGAATATGATACAACCCCGCCGATTTTTAAATGTGACCATAAAATATATGCGCATTATGAAACTACGGTCATCATACTTGCGCACTCGGTTGGTTTAGGTGTGAAAGGTCAAAATACGTATTTCACAACCGGAAATTCAACAGATTAACGTTTGACTT